AAGATACGGTACTATGTTCCACAGTCAGCCCTCCTGGCCCTATATCACTCATTTATTTACCCCTATCTCACCTATAAAATTTGTGCATGGGGCTCAACAACAATAAACCATCTCAGACAACTAATCACCCAACAAAAGGCTGCAGTCAGAATAACAAATTCCCACTACAGACAGCACACTCCACCAATATTCAAAACCCTAAACTTACTCACAATACAAAACATCCATACTTATTACTGCACCTACTACATACATAGAACACTTAACTCTGACATAAACCCTCCCCTCAAACATCTCCTTACCAACAGAACACATGACCATAACACAAGGCACAGATCACTCTTAGATGTTCCTCATGTCCATCGCACGCTATGCAAAAACTCAATGCACATAAAAGGCTCTAAAATCTGGAATTCATTACCTGTGAATATAAAAGAAACACTGTCTGTTTATAAATTAAAGTCTCTTATCAAAAATCACTTACTCACCCACAACTAAATAAATACTGAATAATTGTATCTCATAAATTGTATCTCATATATGTATCTCATAAATGTCAACCTGTGACCCAATCAAACTTTAGTTACTAATTAACTTCATTACCTAACAGAATACTCCATTCTACTGATTACACAGCAACACAGTAAATGACCATATGACCTGTCTTTGTAATACTCATTTGTACTAAATTATCTGTTTTACAATAATTTTTGTACCACTGAATATATCATTGCTTAGTTAATCTTAAGTTAATTTTAAGCTGCCCATAATGCTCACATACAAGGGGCTTTGGCATGTTGCACTTTAAAAAATTGTATTCCTTGTACTTCTCTGTATCATGTTCAAATAAATAAATAAATAAATAAATAAATAAATAAATAAATATGAACTGTTATTGCCTTATTAATTCAAAGTTAATTTTAAGTTTGCCCAAAACGCTCTGCATGCAAAGAGGCTTTTGGCATGAACACCCAACTATTATATTCCTTTGTACGATCATGTATCATGTCAAAATAAAAATTATTATTATAATTATTATTAAAAAGCAGGGGTCCCACTAGTACACTGAGAGACAACACAGTAAGTGTCAGGGGCCCAAGACTGTTCAACTGCCTCCCCCCATACATAAGGGGGATTACCAACAGACCCCTGGCTGTCTTCAAGAAGGCACTGGACAGGCACCTAATGTCAGTACCTGATCAGCCGGGCTGTGGTTTGTACATCGGTTTGCATGTGGCCAACAGTAACAACCTGGCTGATCAGACCAGCAGGCCTGGTCACAGGCTGGGCCAAGGTGGCACTGATCCCTGAAACCCTCTCCAGATATACCCCAGGTACTAGTACTGCTAAACTAGTAAACCAGCTTTTGTTGTTGTAAAGAGCTTGAAGAAGTAACAACAGAGCAAGATATATTTATTTATTTATTTATTTATTTATTTATTTATTTTAATTTGAGCACACATACAGAGGTACAAAAAAATACAGATAAGAGCAGTATGCCAAAGCCACTTATACTATGCATAGCATTACGGGCTGGCTTAAAATTAACTTAAGATTAACTAAGCAATGATGAAATCAGTGATAAAACATTAATGTAAACAGATTACTATAAAGCACAAGTGAGTATTACAAAGACAGGTCATATGGTTGTAATCAGTTAGGTAGTGATTCTGTTAGGTAGTGTATTTAAAAAATAATAAAGTTAGATTCTGTTTTAGGTTTAACATTTATGTGATATAATTGTGAGAAACATTTAAGATATACAATTTTTTAAGGTTCAGTTATTCAGTATTTATTTGGTTTTGGGTGAGTAAGTGATCTTTGAGAAGAGACTTGAATTTATAAACAGGTAGTGTTTCTTTTATATTTACAGGTAATGAATTCCAGATTTTAGGGCCTTTTATGTGCATTGAGTTTTTGCATAGTGTGGATGGACACGAGGAACTCAAAGAGTGATCTGTGCCTTGTGTTATGGTCATGTGTTCTGTTGAGGTTGGCAAGGAGATGTTTGAGGGGAGGGTTAATATCAGAGTTAAGTGTTCTATGTATGTAATAGGTGCAGTAATAAGTAGGATGTTTTGTATGGTGAGTAGGTTTAGTGTATTGAATATTGGTGGAGTGTGCTGCCTGTAGTGAGAATTTGTTATCATTCTAACTGCAGCCTTTTGTTGAGTAATTAGTGGTCTGAGATGGTTAATTGTTGTTGAGCCCCATGCACAAATTCCATAGGTGAGATAGGGGTAAATAAGAGAGTGATATATGGCCAGGAGGGCTGACTGTGGAACATAGTACCGTATCTTCGATAGTATGCCTACAGTCTTGGAAATTTTCTTAGAAATTCACTACATAAAGCATTTGCAAGCTGTTGGATCGCTGTATAGTCCTTGTGGCTTAGCGCTTCTTTTTTGATTATAATAATAATAATGCAAGCTGTTGGTTTGTCCTGGAAATACTCTAAGATTTGTACAGACAGTGTTCCATCAATGGTTAGTTCAATGAAAAGATTTGTATCATTAGTGAAGAAAAAATATTGATGTCATAACATACATCTTTCTCCATTGTGAGGTGCTGGTTGGAAGAAAAATTGGCAGTAAGTTGAAGGCTGTACTAGACAAAGTTGCAAAAATAGTGAACCACATAAAAAGTAGGCCACTTAAATAATGACTTTTTGGCAAATTGTGAAGAAATTGGAGCAAAGCAAGTGAATCTTCTTTTTCACACAGAGGCAAGATGGCTATTGAGAGGCAAAAATGTCGTCACAAGTGTATGAACTCGAGCATGAGTTAATTATTTTTACACTTGAGCAGCAAAAAGAATTTTGAGTGTTGCAGATGACACTTGGTCTACAAAATCATCCTACATTATGAACATTTAACCCATAAACAGTCCAAACATATATATACGTTTTTACCGCTAGTGCCCCAGACGTATATACAGTGGACCCCCGGGTCACGTTATTAATCCATTCCTGAGATCTCATCGTAAAGCAAAATTATCGGAAAGCGAATCAATTTTCCCCATAAGAAATAATGGAAATCAAATTAATCCGTGCAAGACACCCAAAAGTTTGAAAAAAAAAACTTTTACCATACGAAATATTAAGTTTAATGCAATAGAATAATTACAATAACAATAATAACAGTAGAATAATCACAATAGAATAATTGACACTTACCTTTAATGAAGATCTGGTGATGACTGATGGGATGGGAGGAGGGGAGAGTGTCAAAGTTTTTAATGTTTAGAAGGGGAATTGCTGTTTTGTAATCACAGTTGCACCTTTTGCAAGAACAGCTTCCTTGATTGCCGTTTTCATGCTCACTACAGTAGAGATGGTTGATTGGGATTTACTATACAACTTGGCCAGGTCCGACACATGCACTCCACTTTCATACTTTACAATTATTTCTTTCTTCATTTCAATACGTAGTCATTAGCACCCTTGGCTTCAATGGGTTGGCACTAGAAGCTTTCTTGGGGCCCATGGTGGCTTATTTTGCAGAAACAAGCACCAAAAACAGTTATAATATGGATAATATGGAATGTACTGAATGTATCCTTAGATGTGCGCACACTGTCTGGCTTGCAAACACTAGCACACACGGGGCAGTTCAGGCCACACGTGGACACGTCTCATATGAATCGTATAGCATACCGGGTTTTGTAATGGGAACCGAGGCAAACTTTTTGCAATATAATGCTTCAGATACCGGATTTATCAGATACCGATGACTTCGCAAACCGGGGGTCCACTGTATACGTTTTATTTTTCCTGCCTTCAGATTTGGCACTATTGGCCTGAGATGCCTTGTCAGCACAGAATGGGTCCTAACACTCAGTGTGTGCAGTATTAACCCTTTGACTGTCGAAGGGCCAAATCCTGAAGTTGCTTCTGGTGTCGCAAAATATTCGAAAAAAAAAAAATTTTTTTTCT